TTAGAGGGATATCTTAATCAACTTATTATCATTAACTGATTTTTAACGAACAATGCTTGATAAAATTTTACTATAAAATATACAAAAATAAGCACAAGAGCAGATTGTTTTAATCTATCGAAGCTTATCACACATACGTATATTCTCTATATAATCTAATTAACATAAGATATTCCTTGTTCAATAATTATTCTTACAGAAACTTATAATGCATTGTTTAATTAATTACATAGGTTAGTTTTGAAAAATATATTCAGTTTTCTTTTATTCGGTTTGATAATTACATTTGATCAGCATTGTAAAATAATGAAAAATAATTGTATATTTAAATATATAATCTTAAAATAGTTAATGAGATAGTAATTGCATTTTAAATTAGTAATCCGAAGCAACATATTATCTAGAATTTTTGGTCCTTTAATTAAACAAATGTTAAAAGTAAAACCGTCTGCCTCATTCTTCTTGTTAGTCGTAATTTTATTTAGACAATATTTATTAACATTGTTATAATATTATTTTGGAATCGATAAAACGCATTAAGCAAGTACAAGTCATTATTTATAACGTTTTATTTTATAATAATGAATTTGATAAAAATATTTTTTATAAAAAATCTTCGATATTCCTTGATTATTATAGTTGAAATTCCAATTCATTTTTTTATAATTCACTTTTATTCTTTATGTATTTATACAGTTATCGTTAATTTGACTATTGTTATTTTGTACTTTACGCTATTAACTTTTTGCAAAAAAGGTAACAAAAGATTTCAAAATACTAATAATGCTTTCCACTAATTTTATGTATTTTTACAAAATTCTAAAATCAGTTCAAAAGCATGCATTGACCAAAATATACTTTCTGTTTAAAAAAATGTAGCTCGAGGAAGAAAAAAAATTTGAATATTTTTAACGATAATACTTCTATATATTAAATTACCAAGAGTTTATGATTTTCTGCACCATCTTTTTTTTTTTTATCAAAAGAAGCTTTTTTAACTTTGTGAACAAAGTAAGCTATATATTTACAAATGATACACATTTGTGCTTTGTATATATATATATAAATTTTGATCATAATGACGTATTTAAATAATGCCCAATAAATATACTAATACTGTGCTTTTTTCTTCATGATATACATTATATGTATATTTATACATTGAATATATAATGCGTAACATAATGATGTGTGCACGCGCGCGTGTGTGAATATATTTAAAGAAAAACATAAGAAAGACAATAAATTTAAATTTATGATATGAATAGACAATAACAACATCCGTTTAATTGATTATGAATATTTTCATAATAGAAAAGCCCTGTCATATAAAGATATTGAAACGATTAGATTTATGTGACGTAAAAAGAAATCTGATGGATTTCCTTTATACTTCTATGTTAGATACAATCTATATTTGTATATAATTAGTAAAAATAATTTTTTTCCATCAGTCCTTTTCTTAGCTTTCATTTACAATGTACTTTTCCGCTGACGAATCTTTCTCTCTCTCTCTCTCTCTCTCTCTCTCTTTATTCATCTTGCTGCGTTCTACTTATTATAGAGTTTTTAGACCTACATATACTTACTTATTCTAATCTTCTTATACGACAATATTGCAACTTGATTAAACCTTTAAATCTTGCTTAAAATACTAAAGAAATAAAAGGCAACAGATGTTTTTCCTTAGTTATTACATTTAGTAGCTCTGGGAAGAAGGGTACACAAGAATATTTAATAATGCGAATATGCTAAAATAATATATTTGACACTTTTATCAAATTTTTAGAAATTCACGAACAGTTGAGCATACGTTTTTATATTCTTATTATTAATAACTATTAAATTTAAAAACTTAATATTATGTATATTTATATCAGAAAAATGAAATATTTAAAGCTATATTAGAGTCAATTAAATGAATATTTATGGTTATATATATTTTTTTACGTGAGGTTTCGTATAAAATACTTTTCTTTTATTCATTTTAATCAATATTATTTATCGCTATCAATGCTTAAACATTCAATGAAATAATATGTAATAATAAAAACATAATTTTTTTACGAGAAATCTGATGAAAACTGTATAAATAATTTTCTTAAAATTACAAATCACTTTCGACTCATTCGATTTCATGTCTTTTTTTATTAATCAATTTTTACGCACAATGTAAATAATAAGGATACTGTATAAGTGCCTCGAGAGACCGCATGGGCAAGCATAAATAAGAATCACCGAAACCAATTTGAAACGGTTGTAAAAAGGGTTCGACCACGCGCTCCTTTATTCTTTTGGTCTACGCACTCAAATCACCAATGATATCGGGTTTCTCTTAAAGTTACCCTCTTTTCCTTCGCCCATGTATTATTTAATAAGCATCGTCGGGACGATACAGTTCAAAGGCATCGTCGAAGAATAAACTCCACAGTCTCTTTTACAGTGGCTTGTTATTTTAGTATTAACAAAGTAAACGAAATAAATGTCAATGATTCACGATCGGCTCATTGGATCTTTGCTTCTTTTCATCGTACTCTATTTCTCACCCCACCCCCCCCCCCCCCCCAGCGACCACACCCCCGACACTTCACGAGAGATATATTATTAAATTCCTAATACTCTGTTGAGCATATTATGGATATTATATACATGAAAAATATTCTTACTAATGAAATGCAGTTACAAAGACTGTGTAATATAAAATACATAACAAGCGCAAGTAGGAATAACGTGGAGTTACAGTCAAATATCTCTAATATTCTCAATGGGCGTAGGAAAATTTCCTAATTAATTATACAGCGAAATTATTTAAATGGCAGGCGTGCGATCCAGTGCGTAATTACGTAATCAAATACATCGTTGCACAAAAACAGTTACGAAGAATTCATACACTGATTATTAGTTATGTTAAAAGTGCAACGGTAGGAGGGTAATTATAAACGAATTTTTCAAATGACCCCCCCCCCGCGTTATCGCAGTGAGCTAGGCCATTGTTATTCAAGCATTCCCCACGCGTAATATCAATGGCGCATTGAAATAAAATTAGCCAATTGTATTGACTTTCCTTTAGCGCTGTCGTTCCCGGACGCCCCACAAAGTCGCGCCAAAGTGCATAACAGCCGAGCCTGGATGCACAGGCTATAATAGCACGCGTAAAAACAGCGCAAGACGGGTAAAAGTGAGTGTTTGAACAGGACTGGGTAAGTGGAGCAGCGATTAACGCGCGAAACAATTCGATGGGAGCAAGGCTAACACGCGAAAAGACCGCGAGAGGTGGAAATTGTTGCACGTGTAACTAAACGGAAGCGGGGCTCGCGTGGGCGGGGGCTCGGGCCTCGGGAGTACGAGGCCTGGGGAGTTACGCGTATTTCTAAAGATTCGGCGGTTCGGTTCGCTCGTGCCGCGGTTTCTATTTGTTCCCGTTGCCGGTGTCACCGTGGAGACAAGCTAAACGCGAATAATCATGGGTGCAGTCGTTGGGGCCACTTGCCGCCTCTGATGCGCGCACGCTAATCCAATGTGTTGGAGAATCTTGCGGAGGTGCTGCGAGAAAATAGCGAGACTCGGCAAATTAGACGATGATGCAGCTAGGGCGTAGTGGTATTTGCGGAGTGCGATTTTCATTGTCGATACATCCGCTGATCGATACTGGCCCAGGATTAGGACTTTAATTTATTCAGCCACAGGCGCTGCTCGGGCGCTAAATTAAGCTGTCATTATCTTCGATCAATGGCTGTTTTGGAGGGAGAACAGTGGTGAAAGCAATTAAAAAATGTTAAGACTACGAGCTGCGATTTGATGGAGGTGGATCGACTTTAGGCGGCCTTTTAATGCTCAAATTCAGAAGGAGATTGACGTTTGTTTATAAAAATGCCTCCTTGATTCAAAATTATTATGCTCTAAGGGCGTTTTTTTTGTATTTTTTTTTTTGTTTTCTTCTTTTTCTTCAAAAGCAAATATTCAAAATGTTTTGTTAATTGAGCGAGATTGGGTGTAGTAAGGTGGGATTAATACATTTGGCAAATCAAGAGTTCTAATTCGCACGTCTATAATTTAATATTAATTATTTAACTAGCAAGGCATACAGGGAATTGGAATTATTGCGTAAGACAAATCGTAATATAATATTAACATTTGCCCCTAGAAGAATGGATTTCTTATTTTCGATTATTAGTATGGCAAATATATAATTAATATGAAAAATTTGAGGTCAATTTAGCCATGGAAATATAATCTTATAACTGCGGATTTTAGTAATTTAGGAAATGGAAGGTGAATCGATAAATGGTAATCTTTTCAATTATCTTAAGTTTTATTCTATGGAAACTTAATATTACCATTTGATTTTTAGCCAATATTGTGAAAGCATTTATTTACATAGCGAACAAAATATTATAATTATTTTTTTTTTTTTTTTGATAGAATAATGGTATGAAAAAATATAAAAATGTAGTTGAAAAAATAATAATACCTATCCACTGATAATAAAAATTCAATTTCCTAATATAGAACACAAACTTTTATAAGTATCTTATTTCCTGAGATGATCAGTGATGAATTTATACTACAGGGTTCTACTACTACTACTACTGCTACTACTCTTACTACTGCTTCACGTTACATCAATGTAAAATAGAATTTTCAATTATTATTTCATAATCTAAAGCTTATTGATGAAGTGGGTGAATGAACAAACATCTAATTTTAAAATTAAATAAGTTATTTTCGTAAAAAAGAAAATAATAAATAAATAAATAAATAAAAGATTATAAAAATAAATAGATTATTGATAAATAAATTGTTAATTTAAAAATACGCATGAAATAATGATGATGATGATGACGATGACGACAGTAATGACGAAGACTACGACGATGATAGTAAGATTGAAATAGTTTGACTATTGTCGAAATATTTGACTATAATCCTTTGAAGAAATTTTATACAATCCCATGCTCCTATGCGTCCCCTTACATCATTAATTGTTACTTTATACTTACTCGAAGCCTACCTTAAATTATGAGTCCTAGTCAATGTTTGCTCCTCTCTCTACCAGGTTAATCAACTCCGATGGCAAAGTGGCTTTGTAAATTCGGGTCGCATATGTCATTGGTTTATCTCTTGAGATGGGGCGTTGGATATCTATTGTTTCATAATCTGAGCGAGGGGAGCGAAATGTCTTTTAGTGTTTGCGATAAGTCATTAAAGTTATAAACTTGAATAAATCTGAACTTGAATAAACAATAACTCGGATTATATTTTATTATCTCGTGGGTATCCAACTAAATTATATGAATTATATAGGGGGAAGTATTTAAAAAATTGAATTTAAATATGAATTTATATTTAAATTTGAGCTTGCGCAGGGATATTCGAGACATTTGACGAGCAGATTTACCATATTCGATGATGATACATTGAATTTCAATTTCGTCTGTAGCATAAAATAAAAATTAAGCGATTTAAGCAATCATTGAGTTCAGTATTCGACATATTATTCCGTAAATAGTTAAGAGTAATTAATAACATTTAAAATCATTGCTGATTTTATAACTTTTAATTAATAATATTTCAGATAAATGGCTCAATATTTTAATATAATTCGCATGAAACGCAGATAAATGTTACTAGACTAATTAAATACTATTCCGTAAATATTACTTGATATACAGGGAGCAAACGTTTCTACGTGGCACTATGTTTGCATGTAAATTATTTTGCAAAAAAAAAAAAAAAAAAAAAAAAAAAAAACATTTCTAGACTTTTAAGTAAATATTTTTTTTTTTTATATTTAATGAAAAAAAGTTATTTCGATAGTGTTTGTATATAGAAATTATTCTTTGAAAATTTGTCTTCGTCAAAGAAAATTATGATTAGGCACAAAATGTACGTGCTATTTATTATAAGATGGATGGATTTTTGTTCTTTAAATAAATAAATGAATAAATAATGAAATAAATGAATAAACGAGTGAAGCAAAAAGTTTAAAAAATTAGGATAAAATAGGGTGGAGTTTGATAGGGCACATATTTTAAACTAAAATTAGCGATATTTTCATGAGAATTTCCAATCTTGATTATTTACGTAGATATTCCAACGTCTTGTAAGCTCGAAAGTTATAACGATTTTCAATTATTATATTAATTTAAATTTTCTTATTTTTAAGTAAATAATATGAAAAATAAGTTGTTAGTATAAATTTTCAGTGGTAGGATTAATTTTAATTAATATTTTTTCTCATCTTTCTTTTTTTTTTTTTTTTTTGCCAATAATTTTGCTCCAACCATCGAGTTTTTTATGATTAATTGCTCCATTATAGTGTTAATTAAAATTAAAATTAAAATTAAAATTAAAATTAAAATGACTACAATAACGCAAGACATTTAATGGAGGAATATTATAGAATATTACGTTAAATACTGCAATTTTCAAAGTTCAAATATGTAATTAATGAATTTAATATGAATTAAATACAAACGAAGCAAAATCATTTATACCAAATAGAAAGTAATTATTTTTAAAATATCTTCATAAAAGCTGTCCAGAATGTTTAACATATTTATAATTGCTAGAATGCATTATAATTCGAATTATTTGAGCAACACGAGTATGGCTCACATTGCGTGTTCGTGCTTTATGCTTTATAACATATAATAATAGTTATTGAGTGACTGGTACAAATAGATCCTCAACTCGGCTATATACATCGTTTAGCATTATTCAAGTTATTTATCATTCCCACAATTACGTCTCCCTGCGCGAATTACTGGCAATAATTCGAGATTCGCAGGTACGGCACGGCGTACGATGTGTCGAAAAAATAAGCCACTTGACTATTAACAATTTGCGCTTGAGCACATGAGCAGCGTTAGTCTTAATCTGAAAAACCTTAGACGCCGTTCGCAGCGAATTTCATCTGACTTTTCACGGCCGTCTGGTCGAGGCGAGGCTAAGAATTACGCTAAATATTGCATCAGCGGCTCAGCTTTGCTCGCAGGCCAATTGCATTAACACGCCGACTCCCTTGGGAATTGCAGCCGCAGCGGCAATTCAAGGGAACTGCCCGGGCTCGGCTAATGCAATGGGAATCTATTAGGCGAATCTTTGATTATGCGCTCGACTCTCTATAATAGCGCTCCTCCCCCCCCCCCCTTACCCCCTTACCACAATCCATCGCGATCCTTTTCCACGGCTTTTTGCGCGCCCCGGAGACCCTCGGCTTTACGTCCTTACGTACGCCCAATGGAACATTCTCCTCCCGTAAAAAACAATTGTTTTTATCTACGGCGCGCATAATTTTGCTGTTTTCAGTTCCTTTTTTGGGCTGAGGTTATATAGCAGCGCGTGGGGGCTCCTTTCCGGGCGAATCTCTCGTGATGCAAGAATAATCGGGCGGCGGCGGCGGCGGCGAGTGTGGTGAGTGAAAACTGAAAATTATACCACGCGGCGATGGTGTAATGTAGTATTCTAAAGCGCGTGGGTGTACCGTCCGTTTTCACTATCAGTGCTGAAAATATGCCAGGCTGTTTATTATTCCAAACCTTAAATAATTCACGATTTGATGAATTAAATAACCCCCGAACTCCAAAAAGTTCAACTCGTTACATTTAAAGGCCAAAATTGCATGCATAAATTATGGTACTCTGCATACATTACTCTTTGTAAATCTTACGTTTAATTTTAGATTTTATAAGGCAATAATTTAAAATTATAAGCTATGGGCATTGGAAATATAATCCAGTATAATGAGTTCTAATAAATTTCATTCAGGCCGTGCACTCTTATTTAATTTCTAAATCTTCTGCACTACTTTCCAAACTACCTTAAATATCACAAATCAATAACATTGATGTAAATTCAATTTTAGGTTATGGCGAGTATATTTATATTACATTCGTTAAAGCCCTCCACTATAATTCATAAAAAATTCAAGTTTATCTGTATTATTAGATTATCAATAAATAAGCTTGTAAGAACGTAACATTAGTTTGCTTATAACTCGCATACGGACAATGCATTGCACGGCTTATACTTTATTAAAATTTTAATGGATCGAGTCGGTCGCATAAGCTCGGGAATAGTGACTGAATTTAGCTCGACGGTATTTGCAATATAACTCAGGTACAGAATTATTGTTCAATTTGCTACGTTTCAAATCAGACTCACTCCTATACATTTATTTTAACAATGATTGTTTTTCTATAAAACGATACCCGCATATATACCACCTTACTTTCAGCGTTTATGCCAATCCCCATAGGCGAATGCGTGAGGGGAAGATCAAGTCGCGGTATTGGCAATATCTGTAGCCCGATTTCATAAAGATGGAAAGCAAATCGCAATGGTTTGGTCGTCTGGGATGTCGTATGCATGGGTTGCGCATGTCGAGACTGATATTGCTTCAAATTGCGGACTCTTTACTCCTTACGGAAAATCTTATGATACGATTTCGTATGGATAAAATTTTTCTTTAGCTGCGGAATCCTAAAAAAATATATAAATTAACTACACAGCAATAATTCACACCTTTCAAAGATTTCTCGTATTTCACTAGATTTTTATATTTCTTGCATCGATTTGCTGCTCATCTCCTATGTATCCAAAGGAATTGCAAATTTAGCAGCATCAAAGTTCAGATTATATCTAAAATATACTTACCTCAAAGGCCATATATTATAGAATATTCATTCGGAGCAAGTATTATGTTATTGTACAGGGATTGACATATCGACGGGATTAAAAGAAATTCCTTTTATTAACGACATAACGTAACAAATTTGTACTTATGCTTATACTTCAAACTTTATAAAAACAAAAAAATAGCATTTTTACGGCTATTAAGTGCTTTGTATTCATAAATTGAAGATTTAAGATGGGTCATCATTCTAACAGATTTTCACCGAAATATGCCGATAAAAATGAAGATTAAAAAAAAATGCTTAGAGCGTTAATGTTACTTTATGCATAATACTTTTGGTTATACTCGTTGATTATTTGAAACGGCGGATAAAGTAATAATGACGGCAGCTATGCCAATGCGGTGTTTGATAGATCGAATGGCGATGTGCCGTAACTTCTTGTGTGTAGGGGGGGGGGAGGGGGGGCCAATCCAAAAAAAAGGCATGCGATGCAACCGCAAAGGTAACAAAAGGGCAGGTGTCAAAATACGCTTGATTGATGCGCCCATTTGGCATAACGTGCCCGCGTTTACAATCGGCCCTGTAAATACTATAAAATTCACGAAAATCTTTCTATCCTACAGCGCATCAAAGATATTTAATATGAATATAAATAGTTAATGTAAATATTTTCCGCTCCAACGCCTCTTTGCTACATGATTTTACGGCACATAATTAACCCCGTAAGGCCCTCTTAAGGTAAAAGCAACTTTACGACGGCTTTTTCCAAAACCCATACTAGTGTAGGGATTTAAGTTTTAATTCACCGACATTGCAAAACTTCTTTTTTTTACACAATACATTTGCACGATTTACCCGGCAAATGTACGGATACATCAAGCCGAAGCAATAGTCTGATGAAAACGATGGAAACATCAAAGGTCGAAAATGCTCGCTGCCTTGTTCTCGCTGTTTATTTCGTTAATTCCGTTAGAAAGGAATCGGACAGTGGACGAACTTGTCCGAATTTACGACCTCGACGTATAAATATTTCCGTGCATGAGCGAAAAGACGCAGCAGCGGCAACGATGTCGTGTAATTAGTTTCGTTTTATTCAACTGCGCATTTCATCGGTTTTAGAATAATGTTCTGTAGCTGTACATGTGCACGATCAGATAGGGTTTGTAAGCTTCAACATAAATCACTAAATGTTTTCTAAAATAAGAAGTAACGTGTATTACTTTTGTATAACAAATAGCACAAGACAGCATTAGCGATTGAGCCCGCATTAGTAGAAAGCGATAAGCAGAATTCAAACAGATTAATCGAGAATTTAAATTGAAGTAGGGAAATTAATCGTTGACGATCAATTTTACAATTGAAAAACATTACAATCTTATAATTAAAAAATATACAATTTTACAGATGAAAAATATTAGTTAAATTAGAGTGCGAGCCATTAAAAAATCCATAATTTTCGGATTTTTAAAGTCTAAACGCTAATTTTTACATGATAAATGCGACGTATATTTGGG